TGCTCTCCATCACTTCATCCCTCAGCCTGGATTTGTGCTGAGTCGGGCCTGCTTTGTAGCTGAAACTGAATTGTATAGGGCTTTTGATGTACTGCTCGTTGGAATCAGGCTATGTGCATTTTCCAAGTTAAAATGGGATTAATAATTTTTGACAGGTAGCTAGTTCATGCATGGTTAGTGACTTGTTTAGGGTCAGTGTGGTTTAGAACTCTTAAAATCTAGAAAAGAAAGCAAAATGTGTGGACTCTTGGGGAATTTGTATTTTGATCATATGCTTGGTGCTTAATTTGGTACCTCAGATGGCAGTGATGACCTTAGGACACCTTTGGAATAACCATGAAATAATAATACCTTCTTTCTGAGCCATCAGCATTTTAAATTTATTGTGAGATGTAGAAGGCTGGTCGGTGTTTTTCTGACTTCACCTGGCGCTTTCTTGGTCAGTACTCTGTTCTGTGACACTGCCAGGTGAAGCTGGTTACGCTTGCCAGCAGTGAGGGGGTGGGGCAGTTACTCGTGTTTTTGCTGTGGAGAGAATTGATTTGAAGAGGAAAAAAAACCCAAGTCATAAGTTTTATCTTCCTGCTCCCAGGGTCTTGATGTAGATTCTCTGGTCATCGAGCACATCCAGGTTAACAAGGCTCCCAAAATGCGCCGGCGCACCTACAGAGCGCACGGAAGGATCAACCCTTACATGAGCTCCCCCTGCCACATCGAGATGATCCTCACCGAGAAGGAGCAGATTGTTCCCAAGCCAGAGGAGGAAGTTGCTCAAAAGAAAAAGGTACGGAGTGTTGTTTGCTTTGTCCTCTTGAACGTCCGTGTCAGAGACCTGCCTGTTGGGGCTCTCCAGGCAGAGGGGTTGCTGTGATGACGTATCTTAGGACACCTTTGGAACACCCATGAAAAAAAAAATACAAGAAAGTTCTTTCTGAGCAACCTCAATATTTATTTGTGAACGCAGCGTTGAGAACTCGGAGGAGTACTTCTCAGCAGTGTGTTCTTCCCTCCGCAGAGCAGTCGGGGCCTTCCCTGGCTGTGCCGGTAAAGCCAAGAGAAATTTCATAATAAATTTGAAGTCGAGTTGACAGCCCATAAGCAACATAGCACTTGGTTATGTGCGAGTATGATTAGTGGAACATTTTGTAAAGGGAGAAGGAAATTCCTACCAGTTCTCAGGCCTCCTTTCGTAGGATGGCTCAGTTTTTAGACATACTTGTATTAGATGTATATTTTAGATGTAGATGTATATTTTGGGAAGGTGTGAACTCCCGTTGTTTTCTCACTTCTGCGTTTTGTTTTTCAGATATCCCAAAAGAAGCTGAAGAAGCAAAAGCTAATGGCTCGGGAGTAAACCTGACAGATGTACATAAATAAAATTTAAAAGTTGAGGTTTATTTTTTGTGCTTTTCTGCTCTTCCGTGGCTCCTGCCGGCAGTCGTGCCCAGGGGTCTGCCAGGCTGCGCGTGGCTCTGGGCCCCGCAGGAGTCGTGGGCAGTAAGTGGTGAGGCCAAAAAGCGCGTTACATCAGCGGTGGGGGGATGCTGACGGCTGAAGGGGAGTGGTGGTCTTATATAAAAGA